ATTAAAACAAAAGTCAAAATGATAGACAATAGAAGTCAATCAGTCCCCAGAGACATTTCTCCAAGTGCTTAAAATTCACATATGACTATAATTAAACGCCCATTATGCCCCAAAAATGCTTTTAATTCTATTTCTCAAAAGCTTTTTATTTTTGGTGTCATGTTATAGGTTTCAAAATGTTACTCATTTTTCAGGTACCTGAAACATTTTTTTTTTGCTTCTGTTGTTTTTATTAATTAGAATAGTTATATTTGGTATTTTGTATGGAAGTCAAAATACTACTTTGTTAATATTTGTTCCTTTGCTGACAAATAATCTCACATTCAGTGTTTCTTTTGTTTGGTGATAAGTATGTTACAACATGATGTAAAACCATCATTTAAACATTCTAAAACTCATGTTTGCCGTTTCTTAAGATGGACAACCTTATTCACTTCTAAGGCATATTTTGCCTTTTAAAAATCTAGTTCGTGAGGGTTATAAAGACAGTAGAGACAACTACAACTACAAATATTTTATTGCATTAAAACAACATGTTCCATGGCAATAAGTACAATTTTCAGTACAAAGACATGGTTTAAAGATCTAGAAGTGCACAATGCAATGCATGTATAATATAAGTATCTGTACTATCAGCTTTACAATAAGCATGGTTAGTCATTTCGCAAATTTGCATGGTATACATATTTCGCAAACTTATAAATTATTGATTTTGATTTTGATTTTGCACAAATGAGGTTAACACATTTCTGTTTAGTTGGCCATTTTTGACAAAATATCATTTATGGTAATTCCGCGAAAGAAAAGTTTTTGTTTTATGAGCCATGCCTTTAAATATTCTATCCCGCCATTTGCAAAAAAATATTCGAATTTACATGTAAACAACAGCAAAAATGAATGACATATAGTGCGTGATTTGGGAAATTCAAAACCAAAAAAAAGTATCAAAAGGTCCAGTATAAAAAGTAAAATTTAAGAAATATTGTTACAAATACAGTTTCTTAATGTTATCAACAAATGATCTTTTCAAACGTCTGATAAACAAATGAAGTGATGAATCAACAACTCAGATTGTTTTTGCAGGATACCCGAATCTTCAATTGCACATTAAATACACTAACCATACATTTATCGGGTTTTTGCCATGTCTTTCCATTTGTACACAACAGACAGTATCTATATCCATAATTGTTATTATCATGCTTTTCTCATGTTCAAAAATGTATTGTTTTGTCTTGTGTCGCCGCCAGAAAAGTATATGTATTGGCGATAGACATTGTATATAATATTATGTTAAAGTCAATTCTAACACGACTATTGAACATAGAAGAACCGAAAGTGTGTGTTATTATGCTATGAAATCACTGTTTGTCTTTCTATATTTAGACATGTGACGTAATCATTATACACGTGACGTAACCACTAAAATGTGACGCGCTGACAATAAGTACGGAAACAAATCAGACGCAATTTAGCTAAATATCAGGTACGGCAGCATTTATTTGTTGATGTCGTGTTAGAATCGAAATAATATATATCCAAATCGGTGATTTTATTGCTTGATAACATCACTGTTTGTCGTTCGGATGTGCATCATTATATCACTTGGGCTACGCCCTCGTGATATAATTCTTTACATCCGAACTCCAAACAGTGATGTTATTGAGCAATAAAATCACGGCTGTGACTAAAAAAAGGATTGGAGCACCTCACTAAATACCGTATTCCGGTATATACCGGACAAGGCGCTTGAATGATAAAATGCTAAAATCTTGTCTTTTTACCCAACGGAATGAACTTTAACAGGTCTAATTCATCTTTTCACACCGAATCAAGTACGATAATCAAGGAAAAATGTAAAATTCGGCGAAAAAAACGATATTTGTCTATTTTGTGATCATGATTTCTGCAAGCGTCTAGAGGTACTGCTCCAATCCTGTATTGAGCTAAATCCTAAAATCACAGTTTGGGATAATATTTTTTCTTAAATAAACAAAGAATTGAATAGACTGCGCATTCTCGTCAAGACTTATGATTATGCTTCCGAGGAATCACTTTGTTTCAAGAATTATCATTTTAAGATAAGCCATATATTTGTTTGATACACTTAACGATGACTGAGGCGATATTATAAAGTAAACTTGGTATTTTAACTGTTGCAAACTAGCAAAAAAAATTAGAATTCGGCGCATAAAATATCATAATAGTTTAAACATATTTGTTCTCAGAATATGTACATAATAACATTTGAAATATAAGTACACATACAAAATTTGACAATATTCAAAGAAGAGTATTAGAACGAAAGACTAGGTCTTAAAGAATTCTTCTCCTTTCAGTTCTTAAATATTTCGGTGATGTAAAATTTTCTGAGAAAATTTATATATAACCATACGTATAATAGAAACAAATATATATGGAGTATGAAAGAAGTTAATTTCATAATAGACATGTTATAAATGAATAAAAAGCTGTAATAATTAATAGATTTAAAAAATCTGTTCAATTAAAAAAAAAGAAGCTAAAAATGGCCGTTACAAGTATTTTCACGTAGAATAAGGTAATTAGAGTTTTCCGGGTTTAAGTACGTTGATATTCAAAACTAAGAGCGGGGTTGAGCCCATCTTTTTTTTATTGTTTTTTTTTTTTTGTTATCTATTTCTTTTTACTTCTTTTTTTATCATTTACTTTTTATTCAAATTTTAACATTCAAATAGTAGTACATGTAATTATAAATAACTTAAAGTGACATTAAAATGATGCGATACACTACTAAATGACTGTACATAAGTTTTCAAGATTTTGTGTTAAAATATTACAATGACAGGATTCTCAGAGAAGAAAAAAAAAGCTTAAATCGTTTTTTAATGTAATTTGTCCGTATATTTTAAGCGATGTTTCTCCTTTCGCAAGCAAATGTCCACGTGCTAGAGCAGGATTCACCTTTCCACAGCCAGTTCTGTTCATAGTTTGTCACAAGGACACAACTCTTACTAAGATCTGGCTCGTCCTGTAAATAGTTAGAGTACACAGGTTCCGTCAAATCGCTCCAAACAAAATCTGTTGTGTTGACCTTATTAAGACCTATCCAAACGCTTCCATACGAGTCTCCTAAGGTAGGAAATAAGTTATTAAGATATTCATTGAAATTTGTCATTTCTGTCTGGTTTACAATCTTCACCAAATCGGAATGACCTAACAAGCAGGCATCTCTTGCCTCTATAAAGGATTTTCCCTCCTTTTGATTAAGAAATCTTGGCAGCATGATACAATGACGTCCAGCTTTAGTTCCCAGGCCACAATTTCCCTTTTCATAAACCCTCCATTCCGGTTGAAATCGCTCAATAAATGTGGAAAAATCAAACGCCTTCGAATTCAGTTCACATGCCATTGATGTATGCCAGTTGAAAGATACACATCCATTGAAATTCATACATGCAAATGCACATTGTGTCAAGGATTTACTGGACAGGGTAACGTTGACGTTACTGATACGAATATCGTCGAGTAACCAACGCTGAAAGTAAGCAGTATTATTCACAACGCTACTGCATACTATAACGGGAGCACCGAAAACTCCAAAAGTTAGTCCAAACAAAACGGTGTTAACAGATGTCATTTTGAGAATGATCTGTACAGTTTGTCTGCGATTGCTGAATATTATAGGCTATCGTCACGTGATTTCATCACTTTATCAAACCACGCCTTATTTGATAAATCAATGTCAATGGTAGGAATTCTTGTGTCGTCTATTGGAACATTGAAGCGGTCAATATAAATTGTTTACCTGTGTTTGTGCATGGTTTTAAAGATTTCTGCCTACTGGCAACGTTTCACATGCTAGTATCACATTTAAAAAATGTCGTATGACGATCTATTGGAGGTGAGATGTTAACTGTTAACTGTCTAATGACCTTTCTTTAGAGTAGATGAAAAGCTAGCTGCTTAAGTGATTGATATCCGAAGCAGAGCAGTCTGCAGTCTATATGAGATCCTAGCTTATTGAACAATTGTTAAACAAAAGTAGAGTTTTCCGGAGCATTATTTATTTAAATTCTTGTTTACTGAGCTAATCGAACTCATGATTTCAGAAAAAGGTGAAATGCTAGTTGATGAACAATTGCAAAATGAAGTTGTATGTAGTGTTGTTAAAATAAAAGAATTTTAATTGTCTGGTCTATTTTGAATGAAGTTTAAAATTTATAATGAATTGTCGTATTTAGTACTGTGGTCAGTTTCAATAAGCATAAAATATTACTCGACAACAGCTGATCAATCACAATGGTGTTGTTTTTGCATTTTGTAATATATTGAATGTATGTACAATCTTATGAGTTGTACCTTTTACATACAAAAGTATACTTATCAGAATCGTTAATGCCACAGCATTGAACTGTTCACTAATTAGGAGGTTATTGGAAAAGCTGCCAAATAGCTCAGTCGGTTTAGCCGCGGATAAAGCTATATTATCACAGACGAAAAGGAAAATGGTTGAAAAATGGTTACTGTATTATTTATTCCAAAATGTTTTAACCAAAACAACTGAAGCTTTGAAGAAGACGGTTAAATGTTTGTTTAAAAATGTTAATGTTAGTAAAATATTGCAAATGAAACAGAAAGAAATGGTAACATTAGATCAATGTCTTGAAAAATCAAAAATATTTTCCTCGTCAACGGAATGGGTGGAATTGGTTTCGGCAGGCCTTTAATATGACGAACAAGTTGAAATAAAGTTTGTGAGCATATCAAGTACATTAATATTTCTCTCGTATATCTTATCTGAATACATTAGATTAAATTTGACGTAAATACACGACCTTTAAATTAAAAGCGTTAAAGATAAGACTGGATAACATTGTTTATTTTACTGTTCTTCATATGTTTTATGGTTGGAAGATGAATTGGTCCATTGCGCTCATAGTTATATGCTGTGGATTTGGACAATCTTCAAAAAGTAAACATTTTGTGAGTGAAATAGATGTTACTCAAGAAATTGCAAAAGATCAATGAAAAAACTTGGAGATTTGACAAAATCTTTAGCAGCAAAAAACTTGGAAATTGAAGCACTGCCCAAAAATCTCTGAAAAATAGTCAAGGTAAGCTTTAGTTTTTCTGTTAAATTTGCATCGTAGGGATCTCTCCTTTTTAGATTGTTCTTCTTCAAACAAAACAATGGTATGTGGGGCACAACCATTAAGTTTGTTTCCCTTCTACATTTCAGTCTGGTCTTTCTAAGACTTTCTAAGAATCTTTCTGATTCCCTTACGTCGTCCGGTAAACGGATGTGAATCCAATCGTTACATCTCCGCTATTGTGTCTTTATCCGAAGATGACGGAAAGGGTCGAAAAGTTGCGATTGATCAAAATGAGAATCTTGTTACAATTTTTATTGCTCCTCAATTGTGGACTAAAATGCAATTTTCATGTAAGTTTGCTGATTTTAATATAACCGATCATTTTTTTTTTACCAGATATTTAGTTGAACAAGAAGTCATTAACTTTATCTTCTAAAAATATATACAAATATTTGCATTTTTTGTTACGTACACTTAATATCATTTTTGTGGATAGTTAAAATCATGTGTGTAATTACATTTTCTTTCTTCAGTGTGGAATGGCCCGATAAAACTCAAAAATATCATCACTGCCTTAGTCTCATTACCTTTATTATACATATTATTAAGTATTTAGTAAGTAAGTCTATGAGATGTATTCTCATCTAAACCACAAATAGATGGTTATAATACCTCTAAATTTTCTTCAATGACTAACCGATATGATTTTACTTATTTATTACTGAATGTATGATATTTTCATGTATGTTTTACTTATATTTTATAGGCGTTGGTACTACATACACCAGATGGGGTCGAACAACATGTCCTAGTAACAATACAGAACTCGTCTACTCTGGTATGAAAATGAGTTTAAAAGTATTAGAGTATCAGGCCCCGTGTTAAATAAAAAAGATCAGGATATTAGTATCAAATGATCTACGCACCTCAGTGAGTTAGAAAGTGAGCGATAGTGAGACATTCGATCAATGTGCAGGAGAGTACAAATGATCCCTAATTTATTGTTATTGGTGGGTTGTTGTTTTTTTTTAAATTTGTTGTATAAAACAAAAAATCTTCGTATTTCGCTCAAAGTAAACAGTACATAAACTACATGTAAATATTGCTGACTTTCAAAGAATCAATCATATTTTAGCATAAAATAGATAAATAGCAAAAAAATTAACATATAAAAGAATAAACAAAATTAATAATCGCATCAAAATAAGGATCAATTTTTGGATCATGATCGATATTTGAATCAACTGTAAAATGTCTGTATCTTGTTATATAACAATAAATGTGTTCTACAATTTCATAAACATACAATTTCAAGTCCAATTATATCAAGTTGATAATAAATATTTAATCTATGAAGAAAACAGTGGAGACTATTTGAGTTTTCAATTTGACCCTGATCTTTATCCTGATCCTTAAATCTTAGTGAACATGGGGCCAGGATATAAGATTTTTTTCATCGATAATTTAAGTGACATTATGTCCATTCAAGTGTAAATGGTGAGTGCTAAGGTGAAAGTCAAAATAACTTTACATTTTTGCCATAATTGTGTTCGTTTGATATTTTACTATGAAAAAATAGTTATTAATCTATATGACCAATGGGCATTTCTATAAATATCGTTCTTTATGTATCAGTTATGTTCAGTTTTTAAAAAGAGGGAAATTCGTTCTATAAGGTAGTTTTTCTTGGAATTTTTCAATGTCAGCTATGGGTCGAGTACTATTATATTAAACAATCTTTTGAAATATATTACTAATTCAGCTCAAATTGACAGCAAGAAAATGGGCATAATGCCCCTTTAAGTCATAACTTCAAAGACAATCGCTTATAGAAAATCCATATCTTAAAAGACAAAACATTTTGGGAGACATTAGAACAGAAAAATGTGTTAAAGATTCTACATGTATATTGTAATGACGGGTATACATGCGGGGTAAACATGGACGGTGTTCCAGAATGTAATTAGTATTAAAAACGTGTTTCCCTCAAACTTTGACAGTATAATTTTTTCATGAGGTTTTCATCGTATACATTTTTTTCTTTCAAAATGATCTATAAAAAACAGCGGGACTTTTCATAAGGTTTTTGTAGTGTAATTTTTTAAACAAATAAAAAATGCTTTGCAAATGATCTGGTTTGCAATTGTTTTTGTTTAAAAAGGATACATGGCAAGCAGCGCCTACACAATATCAGGAGGAGGTGCAGAGTTCCTATGCCTAACACCTGATCCACAATGGAGTCATTATGATGAATCTATTGGTTACACAAAGTTATCTGGAGTTGAGTATGAATTCTACGAACACACTGCAGATGGCGCTGCCAAATTCTTCGGCCATAACGTTTACAACGAGGACGCTGTATGTGCGGTTTGTCACAGTCACCGTAGCTCAAGTTTAATGATGCCTGGAAGGACCGATTGCTACACTGGTTGGACTAAAGAGTACAGTGGCTATCTTGTTAGTGAATATGATGGTGCTACACACGAATCAAACTACATTTGTTTAGATGGGAATCCAGAGTCTGTGGTTGGAGGAAAGACAAATGATGATGAAGGCCTTTTGTACTTTGTTGAAGCATCTTGTGGTAAAAGCTTAGAGTGTCCACCTTATATCAACGGTAGAGAATTAACATGCGTTGTTTGTACAAAATAATAAACGTAGTTCAGTCTCGTCTTCGTTTTGTATTATTATCAATTACATAACAAGTATAAGTACTGTTTATCTTTAACAGATTCTAACAAACTCTAACAAATTACAGTACGTGAATTGAGAATGCTTATGTATTAAAGTGAAATTATGTCGGAAACTCAGAATTGATGGCCTAATTTTTTGTTCCATCTTGTGTTAATTCAAAAAATCATTAGAAAAATGCCGAAACCTTAACTATAGAGAATAATAGGTTGGTGCCGTGGATGGAGAAAGTTTATCTGGTGAGGCGGAGGAATTTATTGGGTGAGCCGAAATAAACTTTCTCAATTTCGGCTCACCCAATAAATTCCTCCGCCTCGCCAGATAAACTTTCTCCAGCCACGTTTCGGCTCACCCAATAAATTCCTCCGCCTCGCCAGATAAACTTTCTCCATCCACGTTCGGCTCACCAAATAAATTCCTCCGCCTCGCCAGATAAACTTTCTCCATCCACGGCACCAATCTATTATTCTATTTATCCTGTCACCGTTTTTTTAAAGAATTTTATTAGGCAAACTACCTTTAATCACACTATCGGAAATGTTTCTATATAAACAAAGAAGACCCGAAGCGTGCATTATTCTACAACAATGCACTCGCCGTTCTTATTATCTCCCTGTGTATTTTCACATTTAGGGCGCCACTTTGTTTGAAAAATGTGATAAATAAAAACAATTTTTTGTCGAATTTTGTTGTGAAAACTATCTAGAATGAAAGAAAATGGTCTAACTAAGAAAATGAATTCGAACACCAATATCTTTAATTCAGTCGTTAACGTTGTACAGACGTTTAAAGTATTGTTTACGTGACGTCACAATGTAGCGCCAAACAGCACGTGCAAAACAATCAAATCAAGTACGCTATTTTAATGTCGCAAACGAGTTAAGTTTTACATTTATTTCACTTTTAATAACTTTTATTTCGCTTGAAAAATTATAGAGTGAAATAAAATAAACAAACAAAGTTTTATCAACGCTTCCAAAAGTCGTTATTCTACACACAGAAGATTTAACGACAGTTTTTTTCATACCACTGGAACGGCCTGTAAAGAACGTTTCTATTGGAAACTCTGAAGCGAAAACAAATTTAACCACCAAACATAAAGTCCAACATTATAATAATAGAGTGTGACTAAAATAAAGTTTCCTTTTAAAAGGAAAGGCTTGCACAGTTGTGCCTTCATAAAGTGTTTATTTAGTTGTTTTTTTTTTTTGTAAAAACGAATATTTTTTGTCAAAACGATTTGAAATCTATTCTCTATTGTATAAAACTTATAAAAAAAATAATCAATCATAAAAATACTAACTATTCTATCATACTGAAAAGGAAACAAGTGTGCACATTTCATTTCCAGAGAAATCATTCGTTTTGGCAGTTGCTAATTTCATTTATATAGCATCTTTATGGACAAGTAAATGCACTAAAATACTTCGTTACGTGGTACCAATTAATAAGCAGGTTAATGATATGCATGGGCTATTTTTAGATTACCTCACTGCGTTCATTAGATCTAAATATAACTCGATCATGCACCAATATTCTCTGTGATTTGGTAAGCAAGACCACCCTTTAAAGACGTAACCATCCTCTATTGTATAAGGTATATATGTTAATTAATATACAAAACTAATACAGACAAAAACAATTATAAAAGAAACTAATTTTTGCGTCTTGAAAAAGAATTGAAACGTAACAATTTCGTTTATAATTTATTACGGTTTAAACCGATAAATCAAGTAAAAATAGAAATCCTATTTATATAAACAAACTGGGATTACCGAAGTAACTAAAATAGCTTAGATTTCCGTAATATTACTTCGTCTGATTCCGCAGTATGACGGAATCGCCCGAATTGTCACGATTGCAATTGGAACTACATCGGCTATAATCATTAAACCGAAGAGTGACGGAAAGGGCCAGAAAGTTGCGATTGGCACGATTGCAGCCGGTTTCTCGTTCAATCATGCACTAACAAATGTAAGCAGGAAACCACCTAACCGGAACAAGTTTTCCAAAACAAATGGGCTTGCAGCCGTGGCTGCAAGCCAAAAAGGATTGGAGCACGACACTAAATACCGTATTCCGGTACATACCGGACAAGACGCTTGAATCATAAAATGCTAAAATCTTGCCTTTTTACCCAACGGAATGAACTAAAATAGGTCTAATTAGGAAATAGATATCAATTCTGAGTGCATTGTTGTAGAATAATGCACGGTTTGAGTTCAAATGCGTAGTAATATAATCACGAAGGCCGATAGGCCTGAGTGATTAATTACAAAGCATTTGAACGAAAAACGTGCATTATTATACAATAATGCACGAAGAATTAATATCTATTTCCATTCTAACACGTCAAGAAAAAGTATAATTATTATTATAAAGTTGGACTTATATTTGGCGGTTAAATTTGTTTTCGCCTCAGAGTTTCCAATAGAAACGTTCTTTAAAGGCCGTTCCAGTGGGTTGAAAAAAACTGTCGTTAAATCTACCGTGTGTAGAAACATTTTGAGAATAACGAATTTTGAAAACGTTGATAAAACTTTGTTTGTTTATTTTTATTTCACTCTATAATTTTCCAAGCGAAATAAAAATTATTAAAAGTGAAATAAATGTAAAACTTAACTCGTCTGCGACGTTAAAATAGCGTACTTGATTTTGATTGTTTTGCACGTGCTGTTTGGCGCTACATTGTGACGTCACGTAAACAACACTTTAAACGTCTGTACAGCGTTAACGACTGAATTAAAGATATTGGTGTTCGGATTTATTTTCTTAGTTAGACCATTTTCTATCATTCTAGATAGTTTTCACAACTTAAAATTCGACAAAAATTTGTTTTTATTTATCAGATTTTTCAAACAAAATGGCGCCCTCAATGTGAAAATACACAGGGAGATAATAAGAACGGCGAGTGCATTGTTGCAGAATAATGCACGCTTCGGGCCTTCTTTTTTTTATATAGAAACATTTCCGATAGTGTTAGAATTAATCTTTTCACACCGATTTATGTATGATAATGAATGAAAAATGTAAAAATCGGCGAAAAAAAACGATATTTGTCTATTTTGTGATCATGATTTCTGCAAGCGTCTAGAGGTACTGCTCCAATCCTGTATTGAGTTAAATCCATAATAATAATTATATTTTTTCTTGAAAAGTAGTCCGGCAAACAGGTGCCTATTCATGCATACCACGTGATCAAGTGCCGTAGATGAGTAAAAATATACGGCACCTTGTTATCGGGCCGAAATTGATACAAGTGACAGGATAAAACGTCCAAAACGGCAAAATTGAAAATGTTTCAGACTCGGTTTGATAGACCGTAGTGAAAAGTGCAAACTACACCAACATAGCACCTAACTTAAGAGATCTGTAAAACATTTGAATATTTAAAAGACATATAAGATATGTTCTTGACAACTAAATCAAATAAAAAAGCAGAAAACATTTCAAGAAAGACCTCAAAAAGTTCAAAAGCATAAGCCTCTATCTTTCATTTTACAAGTTTACATATTAACTTTTTATGACAGAACGTTATACATGAAAACAAAAGTGAATGTTAACAACATTTAATTATGAAACATTTCCTGCAATGTTCATATCTTTTTACATTGATTTCGGAGCAAAAAGAAAATGCATTCAGAACACCTTGCCGATTTTGCATAATCATCTTGGAAGCAATACGGATTGCATCACAAGTTTTACCACATGGCATGTGATGTAATCAAAGGCAGCCCGTGTAATCTTTGTATAATGAGAGGCTAATATACATGTATTTATTTCAAATTCGTTGAAACTTTCGTCCATTCAAATAATACCATGATTGAAAATATGTCTGACAATCACACTTAATTTAATTAGAACATCCACTGACGTACTGTTATAAAAAAAATTAGAAATATGTTCACCTGATATGTCATTTATACTTTAGTGTTCTCAAAACATGAAATAATCAATGTTCTTCTAACTGTAACACTTATAGTATTTATTGAATAAATAAAGCAACTCAACAAATTTTAGCATTAACTTACTATTTGCATTTGTTTGCATGTTTATTAATTAATTAATTTATTTATTTTTGTAGCGAAGGTAAGACAGAAATGCCTGTATCCCTTTTGTGTACTCATACTCCAAAAATGTCATAACTTAGAGAAAAAACTAAAATTTGACAATATAAAGATATAAAAGACTGTTAACCAATTTGTTTTGATTTAAGGTTTAGCCTATTCTTTTGAGAATGTAGATTTGCTACCTACCTGTTACCATAAATTATATTGCTTATGTGCCATTTATAATTCAATTGTTGGTCAATATATATTCCAAGAAGATTAACTGTTTCGTCAAATATGTTTTCGCTTCTGTTGATTTCAACCCTTTACCTCATATATACGCGAAACAACGCACTTACGACCCCGCCCCCACCCCTCTTTTAGGCCTCAAATAGTGAAAACATGTCCTATTTGGGCCCAAAACACATGTTTTCGTTTGAGAAATGTTGCTAAAAAAGTGAGCACTTTTTCGACGCCGCCCCCATCCAAAAGATACATCAGGGGGTTGCCAGAAGGGGGATGTGTCCCCTTCTGTGTTTGGGGGGTTTGAAGGGGGCGGAGTCCCCCTCATCGCCAAGAAAAATTTGGACTTGCGAGAGGCTAAAATTGACCCCAGTTCGATAATAAGATAACGTGTAACCAACGCTGAAAAGCCTTTGACTCTATCTCAATGCATTGAGAAGTTGCAGCACTTTGAAATCAATTTTGATGGAAAAAGTCAAGGCAAAATAGTGATTTTTGGCAATTTTGAGATGTCCCCTCGTTGCCATGGTAACAGGAAATTTAAGACTGAGCATGTCGTTACAAAGACAATGGTCCAGTCAACATGTGTGCCAAGTTTGATTAGTATTGAAGCATTTGTCATAGTTTCATAGCAGTTTGAACTTGTAACAGGAGGCTTTTCAATGAAAACGGCCACTTTTCACAATATGCTCATGAGGGAAAGAGTTAAATGCGACTTTTTAAATGTTTTCAACATTTACTGGTTATAAAATAATTAGCCCATTTTACAGATAACTAAACTACTATAACAATAAATTCTAAAAGAGTTTCATTTATCAATGTTACATACTTGTACAATATCAAGGTGTGATGTTTTCCTGGAGAAGGCCTATTATTCTCAAAAATGGTAATATTTTCATTTTTTAAAAGCTTTCATTTTTTATTAGCTGTCGCATTTTCAAAAAAAAAATTGTTTTTAATTGGCCACCCTTGCTTCCATGGCGTATAGGCAACTAGTACAATTATAGTGATTTATTATTTTGCACGGAAGTCAACCTTTATCAAAAATTATTTCACATTCGACTTAATTACTTCGGGTAATTAGCATTAAAATGTTCTAAATCCACAATTATAACATTATTAAACACATGTTTGCTATTCCTATAGAAAGAAAAAAATAAGATATCTATTTTTGTGGCTTATATGCGCCTTTCTAAGGTTATAAAGCAATATCTTATGAAATTATCTTTATTATACATGTATTTATCAACTGTAAAATCATATTTGTTCCATATATAATCTTAATTATGGTCGATTCTCAGAAGAGTTGTAACATGAAATGTCTCCATTATTATTAAATACACGTGAAAAATGTACATAAACAGAATAAAATGTTCCGGAACAAAATATTATTATAGGGGTTTATCAGTTTAACAATGATTTCATGTGTACTGTATGCGCAATTCATTTTAAGGCAATTTACTATCACACCTATTTCAAACACTCACTTTGGAAGTATCGTTTATCAAAATTCAAACAATGCTTTGTGCAGGAGTTATATAGATTTTTGCACTTTGAGTAGTATCAAGAGCTTCAGCTAAAGGTTCTCCATTGTGTGTAGTAAAAATGGGAAAATAACACAATATTTGCACAGATGTGCGTTTAGATAATTTAATCGTTTGTAGTTTAGCGAGTGTAAAAAATGCACATGCTTAATATTAAGTTGTCTGATAAAGTAGTGTAAACGAATATCAGTGTAGAAATTTGAAATAATAAATATAAAAAGTCAGGTTGAATACATAAACCTTTAAATAATTCACTATCCAGCGCACATGCAAGTACTGACCAACACATTGTAAACTTTAAACGAATAGACAAATATTTCACGCTTTACAATAATTTGTCATTATTATGCAATACTTATGTATAATGTATCAATTTGAATATCAATAAAAATATTCAGATTATGATTGTAAAGTTTCATTTTAAGTTTTTATTAAACCAAGGCATATAATATGCAACTGGTTATAACAACAAACAAACAGAAAAATAACAGTCAAAAATCACTAATATCACAATAATATTTATAAGAATACAATTATGACTAGCTAAATAAACAAAAAAAAGGATATCATATTGTTCATTTCAAGTACTGAATTCAATACAAATCATCATGTATTTTACATTTTAACAAATGGGAACGGAGAATGAGAAGTATTAATTTAATTATCTAAATTTTAACATATAATGTTTTTACAAAATAAAGATAATTTTAGTAGAATCCACAACTACATATGTATATGTATTCATTAATATGTTAAGTTTAAAAAATATTGGGATGAATAGAAGAGATTTACGTCTTACGTCTTATGTCATTAAAGAACGAACATTCAAATAAATAGTGAAATTCATCACCAATAGCTTGATACAGACCCCTATTATTATGATCAATTGTACTAAAAGATCCAGTTTTTTAAAAACCCGGTTTATAATTTATAAGAATATAATCATAGCGAAAACACATAGGAAAAGGTGAAAATCTCTAGCTGACATCGGAAAATTAAACCACATCCTATTAAGGCCAATATTTTACCTTTTTTTAAAAGTAAATTTACCACAGATCCACTTCACGTAATTGGAACAGGGTGCGATTCAGTTCTAAGAAGCAATCGATTTTATTCGCTGCCTATTTATAGCATTTACATCATTCTCGAGGTTATTTTTAGCTCGCTGTGTTTCAACATGTTTCAACAGACGATGTGAGTTACATATAGAAACAACGCGCTCGTGTTTCCCTTATCACAAGTTAGAGGAAAACGGAATGAGAATGAGGTATGCAGCTTTGTTTATATTTTCCGAAAATTTAGAAATTTGTGTAGATTTAGATGTAGAATTATTGCAAGTTATCATAGATCTAGAGCTAAATCTTGAATTATAATGCACGTTGATGATCTAGCTGTAAAATCTAGGTTCAGTAGATCTACATTCTTTTGTCTTGTTCTTTTACTTTTGGAGGCAAATAAAAGATCAATAGTCTACCTCCAATATGGCGAGGTATATCATTTCCTAGTAGCCATGTGAATTTAACTCTCGTGTATTAAACAATTTCTAAGCCTGGCATCAAATTAATTTATTCAGAATAATCTGTACCTAGTAGATTTAAAGGTTTAAATGAATCGGTTTCTCCTGCCAAACTGATGCCGTGTGATGGGTTCATTCAAAGAAACAAAGCAATTTCTATCTAGAATGGACGTTAAAACTGGCTCGACTTGCGGATTTCAATCCCTTCAGGCATTTTGAGTTTGTTTTTTTTAAGTTTCATGCAGCAATTAAGTTAAATGCAGCAATAAATTTTATACATGTACCTAGCAGTAATTCGATCTATACACAAAGGAGTGGGACAGGAAATATTTATAAGACCTATATCTACGTAACAAAAAAATATAAATAAATATATTTTTAGATCTAAGACAGTGTTTGTTTCAAAGAGAAAAACAAATACATATTTGGTAAAAGTTGGGACTTATTTAGATAGAAGTAAGTTTAAATAATTATACAGTAGCTCTGTGCAGGTAAAAGTCTGTACATGTATATACAATTATACATGTAATTTTTTCTTATAAAAGTATTCAAGTACATGTATAGAAAATATATTTGAAAGCCTCAATTTGCCATTGGTCAAAATTTATATGCAATGAAAATTGCCATTAGGTATTTATGAAGCAGTTACTTTACTTGGTAATGGATTTTTATAATTAAAATAAGTTGTTATATAATAAGGCCTAAAATAAAATATTTTTTGTTTCCCATGCCCACAAAAGTCACAACTACCAAAAAAAATATTGGCTACCAAATTTTTTTTTTTACTAAACATGGAAGTCTGTCAATGAGAATCACATCTTCATTATCATGTTTTTGAATTGTAGGTTAATACAATCTCAATTTTTTATACAGGGATAATGTTGAATAAAACTCTGAAAGTTAATAATGTATGGTTCCAATTTATAAACAGATGCTAAAACAGCATCCACAATTAGTTTTGAATGTCCTATAATTTTAGATAGGAAAAAAAATTGGATAAAAAAATTATGATAATAAATTATTTTGTCTACCTACTAACCAAACTGGCATAATAAATTATTTTGTCTACCTACTAACCAAACTGGCATGGGCCTTGTTGGGACTGGGGAAACAAAGATATTTTTAAAGCTGGCCTAATAAATCAGTTGTGTACATGTAGTTGATTATCTTGAAGCATTATATACTAGTCAGATATCAGCGTTTTTTCCACTACTTTGGGAATGGTGCCGGTACCAGACTGATTGGGAAAAAAATGCGTTATTTTTACTTAAATTGGGATTTTTTTAATGCATTTTTTCAGCTACAAATAAGATATTTAAAGTCATCATGAATAAAGATAGCTAACAGCTTCCACTGTCCAGGTTGAACTATTGAGTGATGATTTATATGAATATGTTGGATTTAAATGATTTCAGAGAATCACTTGGCCTTGTAGAAATTTTGAACTGCCATTTTGGGAATTTAAACATTGGAAATTGGGAATTTTAATGTCTATTTTCTATTGGGAACAGAACTGTTTTAGGGTAGTAGTTATATAAAGAAAAAAACACTGGATATTATGGAAATATTATGTTGACCTTTATATATTATTGACTAATTAGTACAATTTTACAATAATTCCCAGTTGTGAGTTCATAACATTATGTTTAATGCAATAAAGCTACAAAAACAAAGTAGGTTGTGTGAAAATTAAAGGCTGCGTTTTATATTTATCATGTGTATTTAGAAAAATTTACTATATAATTTATTAGTTTAAAGGTATTCTAAAACCAGATGCAGTAAAACAATTTAAAATTAATTCTTGCAAGTAAATTCAAAAAGGAAGAAAAAATGAAATGATATGGCAAATAATGCAGCAGATTTAAAAAGCAGAATATTTATCAAAAAGCAGTATATATCTAAAAGCAGCATATTTATCAAAAAGCTGCATATTAATCAAAAGCAGCATATTTATCAAAAAGCAGCATATATTTATCAAAAAGCAGCATATTTATCAAAAAGCAGCACATATTTATCAAAAAGCAGCATATTTATAAAAAAGCAGCATATATTTATCAATAAAGCAGCATATATTTATCAAAAAGCAGCACATATTTATCAAAAAGCAGATTTATCAAAAAACAGCATATAATTATGAAAAGGCAGCATATTTATCAAAAAGCAGTGCTCATATTTATCAATAAAGCAGCATATTTATAAAAAAAACAAAAAAACAGCCTAAACTAATTTCTAAAAATATAAGAATGCATTAACTTATGTAGCTATAATCAGAAATTGATTAAGAAATAATATCGGTCTGAGCGGTGTTTATCGGCTATTTAACACTGGTTTGGGGTTTTGATGGGTAGGAATTTACCACGAAGGCCGTAGGTCTGAGTGGTTAGTTTTTTCGCATCAAAACGACAAAACCGGTATTAAATAGACGATAAACACTGCTCAGACCGATATTATTTCGATTCTAACAAGATAAAATAAGAAAGACCACTAATGTTATTTTTTAAGTGGAAATAACTTCCAGTGCCGAATTTTATTTGTTTGGGTCGTCAGACCAAACAAATAATGGTAGCGAAATTTCAGACTCTAATGCTGTTAATTGCAAATGCAGAAAGTAGTCTGTTTTTTTGAAGCGGTTAATTCCCTTGATATGTTAACTAAGGCCGAAAAAATCAGGGGAGATCACTGCGTAAATATGGTCATATGACAGGCGCATTAATTTTCAAGCAAAATAATTTTCGAATGGTAGAAGATTTCCAATATTATTTTATTTTTTATAGATATACATGTTTATAGTAAGCGCCATGATTATATACACAAGTGTTACAACAGTTAGCGTCGTTACACACCCTAATTTAGAATAATATGCTTTTCTTCAGACCGTTAGCACATAAAATTACCGTGGCCGAGCAGATTGCGCGCTCGCTTAGGAAGCGAGAGGTCTGGAGTTCAAATCCTAATTCAGGCAACTTTTTTTTTCAAATTGTTTAAGTCAAATAAACATTGGATTGAATATCAGTGTTGCAATTAGGCTTATAGCCAATCTACTACAATTAAAACGCTGTCCAAAAGCATTGATGGCACTATACAAAAACAAATTGTTTTATAATCTCACAACCTTCACCTTTCTGACATTCTGATACCCAAACAAATTCAGCGCCTTCTGTGCTTTGATTGTATAATGCTGTTTGATGTCGCACCCTACTGTTGCTAAGATATAGAAATTATTAAACAAAAGAAGCAATTAAGAAGTTATTTTTTCAAGTTTTCAACAACAAAAAAACTTACGTCATCAGTTCCCAATTTATCATTCTTGTATGTTTGAAATGACTTCAACATTTATGAATGAGTTGTAAACCTAGGATGACGTCATTATGCTGCTTACGGATAAGCGCCGTTTTGTCAAAATATTTATTAACTTTTATGGATCAAATCTGTGGTGTTAGTGTATGTGAGATATTATTGTATTGTATCAAAAGAAAACATTATAAGAACTGAAAATATAAATAAAAATGCTTTTTATTGTTGCTTTAAAAGGCTTTGTAAACTATATAATCGAGGGAGAAAACATAACAGCCGCATATACAAGTAGTCCCTAACCAGTGTTTATTGGCAGTTTAACACCGTTTTTTTTCTTCTTTGTCTATAGTGACAAAATAACGAGGAGTGTTAGAATTTTCTTTCTTGATTGGGTTTAACATCTCACCAATTTAAGATCCTGTATGTTGTGATCAAAGTGGTAAACCACACTAAGTGAAATTATATATATGTACATACGGTAATTATGCAAATAAAACAATTTTCAAACATCGAAGAATATATAAAATATGTACTGCAAATATTTTTGCATATTATATGTAATCATCAAAATATATGCATTCATTTCTTATTGTAAAGTTTGACTTAAACTTGATAAAAATAATTTTTTTATTACCTCCCTTTATTTACATGAAATGTTAAATTCAGTAATATTTTTATAAATACTGTATGTGTAGAAATATTCAGGGGCTTCAAATTTTCGCGATCTTCGCAGTGACATTCGATCCGCGAATTCATGTTTAGCGCGAATATTTCTACACCAATAATTTCTTAATAGTCATATTTTCGCGCTTCTATAGAACAATGTATATCAGTGTGTGATATGCTTTCACACTTTTTATTTAAATCTTTACTGAGTAATTGTGGTTAGTTTTCCAAGTTATTCATCATTTAAAATCGTTTATGTTTGTGGTTTTTAATTGTTTGTTCAGAAAAACCATAACATGATCTGATCAGATGTCAAGACGTTTATGATGCAAACTGTGAAAAATTATGCTTGTTAACGGGCATTCTTTCTGTCCGTTAGACAATGTCTTTTTTCTGTACAATAGAGTATTGTTTGACTCCTGGTATTGAAAATAACAGTGAACTCCCACGATGATTACAGTTATTTTCCTTTTTTTAACCCGAGTGGTCTACGCGAATTTACGATTTTCGGCGGTCACCTCCGCGAATTCAAAATAGCGCGAATATTTGTATAGACCCCCAAAGTGGTCCTTTCCGCGAAAATTTGCCTCCACGAATTTTAATACACATACAGTAATGCTTTTTGGAACGTACAATATTGATATTTTAATTTGAGCATCATATTTATGATTTAAAACTATAAAAAATTGTGTTACAGGATCTTTAACATGGTATAGGTCATATGGTGACCTTGCAGCTTTACTTCCCTGCATTATTTTAGGCAGGGCAGAATCACAGAAATTGAGCACTATTTAGTCAGTCAGGATAAAAAGAAAACAATTGCCACCCTTTCAATAGTTTCAGCTAAGCTGAAGTTCTTAGAATTAATAGAAAATCTGATGTGAATTAAGTGATGTAACTTTTAAGTCTTTAACTTTAATTTTGTTTCAGGATTCCTAGTCTAAACTTTTTGTTTTTGTTTCAGGATTCCATGTAAACGAGTCAACCTAGCAAGGGCAAGTTGTGCCCTGTCCTGCACAACTGTTTTAGTTGGAATGATTGCCCTGTTTTCTAACCATTGGATTTGTGCCGGGGAAATGCACGCAGGTTTTGTATCAGGTTGCTATGGAGATGTTTGTGCATCAACTGTAGGTATGTCATAAATTTTTACTCCTTTAGTAATGGCAAATATGAATTTTATAATGTTAAAATAAATTTTAAATAATGTTTTAAGACAAAGTTAGATGGCTGTTACCAAAAGAAAGTAGCCATTAATGTAAAAAAAGAAGAAAATTTTCGCAAAAGTAGAAAAATTTAACAAAGTAGTATTTTGACCTCCATACAAAATACTAAATCACTTGAACTGTACTTATTGCTAAAATGCAAAAGATGAAAAAGATGGTCCAGGTAATTGGCCAATGGCCCAATGAGTAACTTTTTAGATACTTTAAAAGTACATCAAAATTAAAAAGCACTTATGCTCCCAAAATGCCTTTAAATAATTCTTATTTATACAAAAGCATTACATGTATATGTTTGTTGTTTTTTGTTATAGTTTCCAAAATATGTACTTTTTTGATAAATATTTGAACTTTCTTTTGCTTTTCCGGCAGTAAGTACAATTATAGTGATTTTAAAGCATTTTGTTTCACTGAATTTATTTGGAAATTAAAGTCCATGTTTGTATGGAAGTCAAAATACTACTTTCTTTTGATTTTGTGACTTTTTTTGACAAATAATGTCACATTCAGCATTTCTTTCTTCAAGTTATAAGCATTTAACTTGCTCTAAAATGTTATAAAATGCATTTTATTGTGTCTTAAGAGTGAAAAATTTGTGCTTCTGAGACCTGCTGTACCTTTAAAGTTCTTTACAAGTATTGATCGAATGCTGTATGCCTGGAATGTGATGACAAATTTTGATATTGTATTTAACAATAAACTAATTTTAACTGTAAAAAGTTTGTTTGTATGGATTAGCTGGGAAAAAAAAAACCCCAAATATTCTTAATTCCAGAGTAAGTCTGTTATTTTCTGTTTTTCAAACAAGTAAAAATAACTTTGTTATTATGTTGATTACTTTTTTTTTTCAAGGTAACATCCCAGAGAATTTTAGAGCACCGTTCGTGGTATGTTTGATCGTTTTTGTCTTCATGCCCCTCATCCTGATCTTCACAGCAGCCATCCTACAGGCATTTACCGCACTGAAAGGACCACAGAAACACCGGGACCTGTCCGCACTGATACTCGCCTGGCTGTCAGGTAAGTCTTGTATTCATCAAAGAGCATGTCGTGGGATACCCATGGCCGAACCATATTCAATCGTGGGTATCAGATTCTGACGATGCAAAGAGCACGGTTTGAATGAAGATTAGCAATATAACAGTGATTGAACATTATGATTTCAGTAAAAAAAATTCAATTTTCAAAACAACCTGTGGCTTTCTGAAGGGAAAAATATAGTAAATAAATCAGAAAAGGAGAAAAGTCTGAAATCAAATTCAAATTACTGTGAATGGAATTTATAGTAGACATAAACTAAGACCATTGTTACAGAGGAAGGTCAGACATGTATTTTGTCTTTTCCTATATAGTAAGTGGTATTTAAGTTAGGGTATCACATGATTTTTGGCAGCCTTTAGATAAACTGATACAATTCTGCTTCTGTTTTAATACTTACACATTGAATAGTATTGGACAAGACAAAATGGACAAGGTTGAGAGAAGCAATATGAATTCTATTAAATATATTGTTAGGTTAGACAAATTCCCTCTATTTTCTGCATTTGAAGTGGCTGAAAGGTGATGGTCACTGATGTGACAAAACCAACATAATGGGTTTGCGACCAGCATGGATCCAGACCAGCCTGCACATCCACGCAGTCTGATCAGGATCTATGCTGTTCGCTTACAAACCCTATTACAAGTAGAGAAACTGATAGTGAACAGCATGGATCCTGATCAGACAGTGCGGAAGAGTTGGCTGGTCTGGATCGCAAACCCATTATGTTGGTTTTGTTGTGACGCGGCTCAATTATGACCATTGTCATAGTTAATTTGAATTCCGTCAGGAAACAACTATATATAGGTTCTTTCATGTCAGAAAGCTATAATCCAGCTAAGTAAAGGAAGGTTGATGGTTTTACTCAAGTGCCTCCTTCATGAAATTATACTCCTGTTTATAAGATTTATGGTTTAGAAATGTTCACTAATTAGGGGAGATAGTGTGCAAGTGTCAGTAGAGTCGTGGTACGGTATTCCCGAGAGTCCAAGGTTTGAGTCATGCTCAGGCAGCACATTTTTCTCACCCTGTGACAATTTACTTGAAATATCATGATTTGCAGTTTTGAAGCAAATTATTTTATATATCGATTAGACAATTTTGATACTGTGTTTTCTAAATTTAATTTAATTTTGTAAGTATTTGAGTAATTGCCTGCATAAAAGTTTGTGTAACTGTTTGAAAAATCTGGATAAAGTGTGATCCCTCAGAAGCATCACTCACAACAAAATTACATGAAAATTATAGACTCGGTTTAATTGAATCTGTACATGAGGGATAATGAAAAAGTGCAACATCCTTACGCCTATAGCACCGGCTTAAGTGGTACTAAATACTTAAATATTGCACAGCAGTTTGGCGTAACCTTTCAAGGTATGTTTTGAAAATAAACTATATTTATACAAAAAAGATATTGACGTCCCACTTTTAATTTTCTTGCAGGGTATCAAAGCTTACTGTTGCTTATTCTCATAATTGCCGCCACAGCAATGATACCTTCCAGTGATGAGACCGACATCGTCACACCTTTGCCATACAAAAGTCACGTAACCTCCACTACCCCCGCACCATACTATGAACAGGAAGGCTATCTTTCTGAGACCCATGTTAGCAGTGATTCAGATTATAGCAGTTTTAGCGACAGTGGCGCTACCCCGTACAGCTTCTCATCGGCAAAGATAGGATGGTCAGGTTACTTCGGTCTCCTTGCAGCCCTCCTGTCTCTAGCCTCGGCAGTGTCAGCCTCGCTGTATTATGGGAAGTCGGAGAAAGATGACTATGAAGACACGATACCTCTAGAGCCAAACGTCGTGTAAAGTGTTACGGCCATGATAATAAATTAGCATTTTTTTCTTGATGGTATAAAAATCGCCTCTTTGAATTCAGGAAAGCAATGCAAAGTGGGTTGTAAATAATTGAGAGTTACAGTGAGCTTGTGATGGTAGAGAACTATTAGTCATTGTTAGGTGTAGAATAATTTGAAGTGTAAAGTCTGGGAAATACTATGAACAGATGTGGTAATGGACATAATTACAACAAGAGGCATATGTACATATACCTACATTTAGTACAAATGCTTGCTTTGTTTGCTTGTTTTGTACATATAAGCAAATGCTCACCTTGTACATACAAGCATAGCATGTCTTGTACATACGAAGAGGTGTAATATGTACATGTACTTTCATTTGGTGCAAATGCTTGCCTTGTACAAACGAGCAATTGCTTGCCTTGTACATACAAGAAGAGGTGTAATATGTACTTAAATTCAGTGCAAATGCTTGCCTTGTACATACAAGCAAATGCTTGCTTTGTACATACAAGAAGAGGTGTAATATGTACTTAAATTTTGTGCAAATGCTTGCCTTGTACATACGAGCAAATGCTTGCTTTGTACATGCAAGAAGAGGTGTAATATGTACTTAAATTTAGTGCAAATGCTTGCCTTGTACATACAAGCAAATGCTTGCTTTGTACATACAAGAAGAGGTGTAATATGTACTTAAATTTAGTGCAAATGCTTGCCTTGTACATACAAGCAAATGCTTGCTTTGTACATACAAGAAGAGGTGTAATATGTACTTAAATTTAGTGCAAATGCTTGCTTTGTACATACAAGAAGAGGTGTAATATGTACTTAAATTTAGTGCAAATGCTTGCCTTGTACATACAAGCAAATGCTTGCTTTGTACATACAAGAAGAGGTGTAATATGTACTTAAATTTAGTGCAAATGCTTGCCTTGTACATACAAGCAAATGCTTGCTTTGTACATACAAGAAGAGGTGTAATATGTACTTAAATTTAGTGCAAATGCTTGCTTTGTACATAAATGCAAATAAAAATATATTGTAAACAAAATGTATGTTTGTTCAGTTACTTCTTTAAGTCTAATATTGATTGATAATGCTAAGTAAAGTAATGCTTTACATTGCAATGTTGTAACTCTTTGAGTTTTGCGTGTAATGAACTTTATTAATTGTTTATACAAAACATTTGGTTTAAATAATCACTGACAAACACCCGTTTATCTAGCATGGTCTTTCTGAGAATGATTTCTCTTGTGTATCACTTAAAGTGAAATATTGAGAATATGTCCAACTTTTAATCAACCTGTAAGTTCTTAGTCTTGACTGCATACACATGCCATTTCCTTTTCAAATATGCATTTTTCCTCCAATCTTTTTAAAAACTCCCAATCGAACTGAAGTTCTCGATATCAAAACTGGCAAATTTGCTGGAGTTCATTTCAGTGTGGTATCAAACAAATGTTTCCACACATTTTGTGTTAAATTTTAATGTAACTATAATTTTCATGCTTTGAATGATATTGGCATTGGTTGGAATAAACAATTTTGCAAAATTCAAAATACAATGTACTATGCAAAAAGAGCATGTGGGAGGTTTCAAAAGGTACCAAATAATTTCCCCAATTTAGCAATTTTATGACACAAGGTTTCCCAAACTGGCTAGGAAAAGGCCTGGTACAAAACATATGGAAGAAGATTTTTAAAGAAAAGTTGTCATCTGGGATGATTATGAATTACATTAATTTGATGTAAAAACAAAAGGACAAACACAAAAGCAATCCAACACAGGGTTAACTGTTTAATCATTTATTCAGCACAAAAACATGAAAGTGGCTTTAAAGTATATCTAATAATTTCTAAACACTTTTAACATTGATCATGTTAATGCATATAATGATAAAGCAATAAAAAATAGACTTCATAAATCAACATAATAATGATTATATAAAAGAAAAAAAAATTATGGTTTTTCTTAAACAAATCTGAATTACATTTAAACGCCATATATTAAGCATCTGGGGTAAAATTCTCCTTTTTTATATGGCAACATTTAAAAGTATTACATTGTCATTCAAATGGTGAAGTAAAAAGTATTATGCGATTTAAATTTTTCCAAAGTAAATACCAGATTCCTTATTCATCACTTATAAGAAAAGATGAAATGGCAAATTTAATCACATTTCCATCATGGAAAGTGCATCATTCCTGAAAACACACTCTTTTGAAAACTTTTTGTGTGGTTGAATAATGGACCTTACCAGTGTTTACAGATTTATGTAAATTGGCTAACCTGTTATCTAATTGCTACACTGAGATAGTGCATAGTCACTGGTTGACCTGGTTTGCACAAAAGAACACATGGTTTTGTTTGTGATACTGTTTATGAGCAGTTGAGCTAGCAATGAATGGAAAAGGTGTGGTTAAATGTTCCGCAAGGTCCATTCAATTCAAAGTAGTCAATTTAAACTAATTTTCAAACTTTTAATTGAATTCTCTTTAAATCTTAGCTGTGACATACTATAACGGAACAAGAAACTACCAACTGGATAAGCAGTCTTACCTTGGCGTACAATTGACTGCCAATCATCTTTGAGCATAGTGTTTAAATCATATTTTAATAATCATTTTTATAATAATGACATTGAAATCATGTTCAGACAATTGAAACAACCTTCAGCTTTCCTAAAGGTTTAATAATATGTTATTTTTAGAAAAATCTTTTCATATAATTGTCAAATCAAAGAATTAAGATGGAAAATGATATTTGCCGTCAATAAAATACATAAACAATAAGGAAACCCCTTGATACTGTTTATCTACCAGTCGGCACTCAATATGTGAATCAGAAAGGTGACAATTTATTTTCTTGATCTTCAAAAGATAAAGCTGCAATAATCTCTAGTTGCCTATCCCCTTATATATTATGTCCCAGCAAAAATTAACATAGAACATAACTAAATTTTAATGCTCCAGTGAGAATGATTTTACAATTACATGACCTTTAATGTATCAAGAATGTAAGATTCAATTATTCTTTGAATAAATAAATAATTTTTAAAACAAGGTGAGAATTTTATATAGCAAATCTCGAGACTATTTCAGTTGCGATTTAGCTTGTAATGCCCACATTATGCCCTTAACATGCCATATTTGTATCCTCACAGAATGACGGAATATAACATTGAACAAGTTTATCATTTAATTATATCAATCTTGAAAATAAGATGAAATTATATCAAATTTAGCGTAAAAATCAAATGTATAGAATTGTCCACTAGTATGGATATAAACTGGGACTTAAAAGTCCTAGATATAAAAAACTAAACGAAAAGACTATGATTTATTTAATTTTCTAAAAATAAACTTCTATAAAAATGTTGTAAATTATTCTTAAATGTATAAATCACAAAACATGCCAAACTAAAGCTAATATTTTAATGAATAACTTCACTGAATTTCAAGAGTTAGCACATTTTAATAACATCCCTAGCACAGTACAACAGTGCCAGAGCACAACCTCTAAACCTTTCTTTTTAAATCATGTTTGTTACCATCTATGTACTGTGTTAACATCTATGCAGTACTACTGTGTAAACATTTACATACTGTGTTAACATCTTTGTACTGTGTTAACAACTATGTATTGTGTTAACATCTATGTATTGTGTTAACAACTATGTATTGTGTTAACATCTATGTATTGTGTTAACATCTACATACTGTGTTAACATTTACATACTGTGTTAACATGAATATACTGTGTTAACATGAATATACGTGTACTGTGTTAACATCTATGTACTGTGTTTACATAATCATATGTACTGTGTTAACAACTGTGTTAACATTTAACATCTTTATCGTGTGTTAACTATATGTACTATGTTAACATCTATGTACTGTGTTAACATCTACCAGTATGTTCTGTGTTAACATGTATATACTGTGTAAACATTGTACTGAGTAAACGTCTACATACTATGTTAACATTCTATGTTCTAAAAATATATATTTCAATATTTCATGCATCAAATCACGTCTACAAACACACGGTGGCAATGATAATAATTATGATATAAAATGGAATGCTCTACTATATGTATAATATTGCACCAAGTACAGTAATCAAAGCATGGCAAAAAGCAAAATGCTGAAAAATCTTAATGAACAAATGTAAATGATCACATAATCACGGACGCACATACGTACCAACCCACCCCGAGCACGAGCACACAGTTGCCTATACTATTGTTGAGGACTGTTTATCTCTCACTAAATATATTGTGATACTTTTTAAACAACTAATATAAAGAAATATTATAGCTTTTAATGACTGCCTTGAAAATCCTCTATCACAAAACCATATATGCAGATTATCTTATCTTATTTGGCATTAAATCTCACCCTTATGAATCCTGTATCACTTTTAATTAAGATGCGAGCATAATAGAAACTTCACTCTACTTTAAAACTTTTGGTGAGTGTCTTCAAAATCCTCGTATGAATCCTGTACCACTTTTATAAACATGGGAGCATAGTAGAAATTTCACTCGAACATTTTTAGGAAAAGTTTCTTCTTGCTCTTAGTATGAATAACAAAGAAGTTATCGTATCGTAGACCTTTCTGATATACAAAAATTTAAATTGACTATGTATTTATGAGCAACAACACAAAGTGAGTAAGTAAATGTAAGCAAAACAAAATAAATAATTGGCTAGTTTCTGAATTCTTTTTGCTTTATTACCCCTGCTATAATAACATAATTATGTAAAACCAAGAAGGATCACACTTTGACACATGTAATGGAATGAAACAGAATACAAGCAACAAATTTATCCACATTCAGAGCATTTATGTTAAAGCAGCATGCCAACAGAAGAGTATTTTATGTAGATGACCAAAAAATTCAAAATTGAGAAAAAAATAATAAAAGAGTACAAATATTTACAACCACCGTGAAACTTTATAATGTTTTATGCCACAGGCTTTAATAACATGGCTTTAATCATGAAATAATGTAATTAAAACCGTGACTCTGCAAAATTTCATTTGACAGAAATTTTAATCACCACAATTATACAAAGAAAAGATAAAGTTCTACATATTTTCACAAGCTACATGCAATTTCTGTGATTATGGAAGATTTTAATCACTTGACTCCTTAAACAAGTTTTCAGTTTTCACAAATATTAATACAAATCTGTTATCATGCTGCTTAAATGGTTAGAAAATGGCAGTTTAAAATACAGACTGATTTACTATGTTATAGATATACATGTATCTGTAAGAAGTGTATCCTTACTTCTAACTTACTTTTTTAAAGGCCCATTAGTCCAATATTGTAATATGATTTTTTTTACCTCGGATAAGATAAGAAAATTCAATTTCCTAGATAAAATCATGGTTAGAACATTACCTAAATGGAATCAGTTGACATCTGATGATTTTTCTATAAAGAGGTATCTTACACAGGTCTTACTGTAGACAGCGGTCCTTCATAACAAGTTTTACTGTATATTTTATGATATGAATTTTCTAACACTTTAATACAAACCAATTAACAACTGTATAAACATGTGAACTATAAGAGAAACAAACATTGAGGTAGGAAAGGTACCATTTCCAAGAATTTGAACAAAAATAACAATAATTTTTTGGAAATATATTTCCATTAACCTTTTCTTTAGATAATTATCTCTTTACATACACAAAGTATGTGGTTGATTTTTGGTATGACGCTCATTTTTTTAGACCATTCAGTCCCAGGTCATAGACAAGTAGAGAGCAAATTTTCCAATGCAAGACAGGTTCAAAAAGATCATAACTATAAAATTCTAAAATTTTGTTTGTTAAATTACCATTCACATCCCAGCTATTGGAGTAAAACAAAATACTTAACCTTTTACAACTGTTCATACCGATAACCAAACAAATAAAGGTAAGTGAATGACTTTAATATTGATAACCATAGATCATTAAAGAACTATTCAAATATTAATATAAGATAATTAAGAACCTACGAGCAATTAATGAGTAAACAAAACCTCTTT